CAGCCCGGGCGCCGAGCGCAGGGAGGGTCTGCACATCTCAAAAGTAGCTACATGACTTAGCAGTTGGGTTTTCGGAGTGGCTACAGCCTCAGCTCCACACCCCAACGCCCGGCTTTTATAACGTCGATGCCTCCCTGCTGGGCGGACGCAGCTGCAGCGGCGCAGTCGTGTGCGTACTTGTTCTTATCTTCTGGAGAAAGGCCGTGATCCATCATCGTGTGTGTGAATATAATCACTTCTGAACACATCTGTGTTCAGAGCAGGGATACACAAACCACCCTGAAATGTCTGCAGCGGTATCAAATCTGCTCTTCAGGAGTCAAACCCCCAATATTTCATCCCCTGTGGAAAAAAAAGGACCGACGTTTCCCTGCAGCAGCGACTGCTGAACTCACACCCCGCCTGAGCTCCAGCGGGCAGGTGGCTGTACCAGGGCAATGAGTGACAAAAAGAGGCGGTGAACCCGTGGGGTTATTTCCCTCAGAGGCTTTAAGGAGATTTCTAAACAATTTGCGGGTGTCCCCTTCCTAATGGGTTTAGGAGCCGGTGTTTGGAGCCAGCTGCAGGGGCCAGAAATAGAGCACCAAGTAAGCCGGGGCATCACGGAAACTAGGAAACCTCTTTACAAGGTTAAAAATAAAGCCAAACAGCAAAGCGTTTATTTAGGACGCCCAGGAGTAAATCGGATAATTGCTGGGGGAAGAGCCAGTTTCCATGAGCACAGGGGTGTCATCAATGCAAACAAGATAACTGAGTCATGGTTAAATAACAGCAGCAGAAATACTTTCCCAGTCGAGCACAGCCTTGGAGCAGCCATGGGTGACAAATCAGCCCCAAGTGTGTCCCGGGGCGCACATCCACATCACCTCCTCTGCAAAAGGTTCTTGCAAATGCACGGGCAAAACGGGCAGTTTCTGCGGCCTCTGGTGCCCCACACCGTGCGTGCGGGTGTTGGCACCAGCTGCTCCAGCTCCTCGGGACTGGGACCCAGCTGATGACGAGGCAGAGCTGGCTTCACAAGAGTCACCCACCCTGCTCTGCCCTTCAGGTTTCTGGGAGGGAAAAACCCACTTGGAGATTCAGCAAGAGCAATGAGCCCGCAGCAGGGGGGTGGCAGGGACCTGCCGAGGGACCCCAAGCCTGCGGAGCTGCCCCGGGCTGTGTCTGCACAGGGAGGCGTTAGGGTTCTGGCATCACCGGTACGCCCCATTGCGTCCTGGGGGTCAGACTGTATACTCAGTTTTATTTTCACTGTCACTTCCATACTTCCAGTATCTAATTTGATTTTAAACTCAATTTCTCTTTAAGTAACATCACCTTAGATTTTTAGCTAAAGAAACCTAAACACCTGACTTCTCAGCATTGGTACTGTGTACTGACTGCCCTTGCAGACCGACCCACCAGCAGGTCCTGGCAAAGACGCCAAGAGGCCAAAGGGGATGGAGAAGACAGAAGTGATGCAGGAGGACTCTCGCACGCCGCCCGTCCCCACGAGCCAGCAGGCTCCAGCACGTCACCAGCCGTTGGCCACTCACTTTGTTCCTTTTGTCGCCCATTTTGGGGGCCGTCAGCCCAACTCCTTCAAGTTTCTCTTCTACAATCCAAACTGGTCCAACTCGTACAGCCCCTTCTACACTGCGCAGAAGCCGACCTGTGGGTACCGCTACCACCGTGACACCGATCACACTAGGAAGGTGATGGACGTCCAGAGTGCCAACATCATGAAGTGGAGACCCATCCCGAGCAGAAAGCCGTAGGCGAGAGCAATAAAGCAATGAAACCAGTGACCAGGGGGACTTCAGCTTCCCATTGCGTGCCTGGGTTATGACCGGCAGTGAACACATGAGCTGAGGAATGGGCAGTGAGGCTGTGGCACTGCTCCTCAGAAAAACACACAGTGTGGGTTTTGCACTTAAAACCCGGTCCGACTTGTCCTGTCGTTCACACAGAGGCACTGGGTGTCAGCAGCGCACAGCACTGCAGGAATGGGACCCAGCACGAGCTGCAAAACCTGCCGAGGCTTCACCACCTTCCTCAGCTGAGCCCAAATTCTGCTCCTTCTTTGAAAGGACACCCTCTTTCACTAGGCTTTCCTAGACACAGGCAAAGTATTGCTCTTTAGTGAATAGAAAAGCAGCTTCAGTTGTGGCTCTCAGGAGTGAGACAGTAACTGGAGCTGAAATTCAGCCGGCATGTCCCTGCAGAAGGCAGCAGAAACTGTTCAGCTTTTCCATTGCCCGTTCTGGGGAACTGGGTGCACTGTCAGCAAATACTTCTTGAAGCAGTTGTTGAGCCTGTATCCACCTTTAATACATCACCTTTCTGCTATTAACGGATGCCTCAGTATTGCACCCCCTCTCTGTGCTTCAGGACGGGCTGTCCCAGCTGTGTCCCCACTGGGGGGGGGGCTAAAGCCCCCCCGAAGCCCCCCCTTGCTTACAGGTGCTGTGCACAGTGGGGCCAGTGCCTGCTGCTGCTGGTGAGTGCCAGACCAGCACGTCCAGTTAGCATTCCTCAATCCAATTCCATTTTCATAACTGTTTTACGCTTGTGCATTGCCACCTGCTTTAGCAGAGTTATTCCTGATCTACTTCAGGGCAGAAGCAATACCAAGCTCTGCAACACATAAAAGTTGGGCTCTTTGTCTTTAAGTCATCAGATATAAAAATGTGTTATAGGACAGGCTCTGCGGCTAGACATCTAGTAGTCCCACCAATTTCCTTACTGGTGGAGCATCTGGCCCATGCTGCCAACACTGGTTTCGGTCGTATTGTCATGGAGAATTTTTCATGGTAATTAATCATCAATGAAAATCGAAGCTGCATTCAGCCTGGCGTTAGTTGAGTTCTGGTAGCATGGGGGCCAGGACATGCTGCTGGGATGCACGGGGCGATGCTGTGGGAGAAACGCTCGACTGGCCGGGGCAGAGACACTGACCACGGGGACCGGGGCTGGCGGAGGGGGAGCTTCCCCCAGAGGGCATCACAGCATCTGCTGTCCGCAGTTAAAGCACTTAAAGCTTTGCCACTCAAAGCAGTTCTGCTTCTATGTTTGTCTCCACACACCAAATTTCCCCTCCCACAGCATCTCTTATGGGAGCCGAGAGGGAACTTCCCTCTCCCCGAATTTCAGGCTCCCGTTGGCAGTCCCCTCTGGAAATCCTCTGGCCAGAGTGAGACCGGGGAGACCGAAAGGCCGGGAACAGCACAGGGACTCCCCAGCGGTTTCCTTTCTTCTCGCTATCATTTTGGTGCAAAAGTTATTGCTCGTGTGACTCCCCCACAAAATCATAAATGAAGTGGATTAGGCGATTACACCACCACAGACAAAATTCCACCCTCATAATCTCCTGTTGGCCCCTAAGCTGCCAGACTTTCCCATTTTACCTCCTTTCTATTTTAAACCTGAACTCTTAATGCCTGGCAGGAGCCCATCACCCCTGAGCCTCATTGGCTGGGGGGGGGATTTGCTGGGTACTTAAATGTCACCCTCTTGTCTGAAGAGAGCTTCGAGATGTGAATTTTCCTGCGGAGAGGTGTCTCTTGAGTCCACCACCGCTGACTTGGGACAGCCCATGCACAAGGCACTTTGGTTTTCCCCGATACCGTGCTCCCTGCAGTGCTGAGGACATTTGGACTTTAAAGGCAAGAAGAATTGAAAAGAAAGCCCTCAGATTTCAGCAAACATCCATTTTTGGCTGCAAAGTGACCAGCACCTGGTGTGGAGATGGGGAACATGGACGGGAAAGCCGTGGAGGAGCTGAGCACCACCGAGTGCCACCAGTGGTACAAGAAGTTCATGACGGAGTGTCCTTCTGGCCAGCTCACCCTCTACGAGTTCAAACAGTTTTTTGGCTTGAAAAACCTGAGTCCGGCAGCAAACAAATACGTTGAGCAAATGTTTGAGACGTTTGACTTTAACAAGGTAAATATTGTCCGTCCCGCGCAGCCCGTGCCCGGCCGGCTGGGCTTACGTTTGACTTTAACAAGGTAAATATTGTCTGTCCCGCGCAGCCCGCGCCCGGTCGGCTGGGCTGTGCTCCCTGCGGGTGGGTTTGGGTGGATGCAATAAATGGGTGTTGAAATATGGGTGGGCTGATCCTCCGTGGCCTCATACATTGTAAGATCAGTTCTAGAAGGTGAAAAATGTCAGCAGAACCTCCTCACCTGCTGGCTGTTCTGGGAGAAAATAGACTTCTCCCAGAATCGATATTTTCCTTGCAATTTTAAATGATTAAAATAGCGGGGGTTTATCTGCTGGTCTGTAATCCCCTTAAAATGAAGTGTGCTTTCATCCTTAAATATCGAATGTTGTGACAGTAAGGAACAAGCGAGCGGCGTGAGAGCAGGAGCTGCATTCATGCAGAAGCAGCGAGTTCCCCAGCCACGCCGCATGGCACGAGCTCCGGTTTGCAGAACAGACTGGGTTTGGTTTTCTATTGTTTTCAATTATAAATGGATTGCAGTCTCATTGCTTTTATTACCTGTGCTCAATCCCATACGATAAGAAGTTCGAGCCCTTTGTTCCCTGTGGAGAGGTTTGCACCTGGGGCTGTCGCTGTGCCGGAGCCCGGAGCGGGGCCATCCCGCTGGAGCCGGGCATTCCCGCAGCACCGGCCGGGTTCAGAGTGCTGGTTCCCAGCTCAGGAGCAGCACCAGAGAAGCAGATGGATGCTGTGGCTCTGAGAGGAAACAACACCTTCCTTTACCTGCAAATGATTTGAATTTGTACCTCATGTGAATGAGGAAAATATTTTATGGCAACCCGAAAGGCTTAGTGGGCTTAATCCCACTGAAAATAACTGTGCCTTGGCCTTTACCTGCTTGCTGCCCCGTGTTTGAATGCATGCCTGAAAAGGGAATTGATGTACAAGAAATCCTGCTGGGAACAGGGCTCAGCAGCTATTTATACCTAATCTGGCCCCTGCCGCGGTGGGATAAAGCAGATGATCCCCTCTCACAGCAGCCCCGTGGTGCGGTGGCTTTGCTCATTGACAAAACCCCGGTTTGTTCGCTGACGAAGGCTGCTCATGGCTTGTGATACCTGTCATCGCCCTTCCGAGGGCTCTGTGCCGTCGAGGCACTCTGGGGTGGGCACTGCACAGTTTATCAAATGGCGCGGTGACCGTCACGGGGCCATGTCCAGAGGCTGGTGGCACCTGAGCTCAGCCCAGCAGCTTTGCTCCAGTGCCATAATCCTGCCGTCTGCGGGTCCAGCTGACCGTCTCTGACGCCGTGGTGTGAGCTGGTGGTGGGCACACAGCTGGGAGGAAAGTCCAAGATGAGGCTGTTTGTGCTTTTGATGTGATCAAATGTTATCAACACATAACAGCTCTGAAGGGATCAACGCGGAGCCCTCGCTGTGGGGTGCACTGGCTTTACCTGGGGGTGTGCAGGGGACCCGCACCCGGCACCTCGCCTGTGCTCCCCAAGCCCCTGCTCCCAGGGTGGTGGCCACACGCCAACGTCTCCCAGTGGGGACTTAGAAAAGCGACCAGGAAAATCACTGAGTGCCTGACTCCCTTCAGTCTCACCTCGCTTCTCACCTTCTGCTTTCAGGACGGCTACATCGATTTCATGGAGTACGTGGCAGCTCTGAGCCTGGTCCTGAAGGGGAAGGTGGACCAGAAGCTGCGATGGTATTTCAAGCTGTACGATGTGGACGGGAACGGCTGCATTGACCGGGGAGAACTGCTGAACATCATCAAAGTGAGTGGGCTCAGCTTCCCTCGCAGACGACGGTTATTAAACGTGGGCAGACAGAAAGGCTGTAACAGGAATATTCCAACCCGAAAGCCAACTCCCTGGTAAATGAGCAGGCACTGGCCAAACCTGCTGCTTGTCCTCTGCCCATCCTCCCACCAGGCTGGCCAAGCTGGCCGGACCCGTCCCGAGCACCCCACACCCCTCACGGCACTGGCACGCTCCGACACGCAGCAACCCCTCGTCTTCCCCTTGCAGGATGTTTAACCACGTCCACTGAAACCAGGCTGAGATAAGCACCTGAATTTAATCTAAGGCTTTTCAGAGGTGAACGGCTCCTGGCTTATCCCAGCATGCCCGCTTAATCTGTTAATGCATTGATTGCCTTTTTATGTGATTTTAATCTCCAGGTTTTCAGAAAGGACTTATTCCTTTCAGAACCTAACTGCCTGCAAAAGTTTGTCCCCTCATGTCTGGTCACCTAGCCACTTGTACCGATGGACGCACAAAGCTGCACAACGCTCTAATTGTCCTCTGTGTCCTTCTTTCCCTGCAGGCTATTCGAGCGATCAACCGGTGCAACGAGACGATGACAGCTGAGGAATTCACAAACATGGTGTTTGACAAAATCGATATAAACGGAGATGGTGAGGAACCTTCTTGTGCAATGCCAAATACTGCTCCCGCTGCCCCCCTCCCCGCAGTTCAGCCTGCCAGAGCAGTCCCAGGTGCTGGATGTCCCAAAACACCGGGACATGGGGAGAGCTGGCAGAGAGCGGCTCTCCGGAAAGGTTTAACTCCCTGTCCCCTCCGTGGGCTGCAGCCGGCCCGAGGTGACACTGTGAACTGTCCCCTGTCACGCTGGCAGGGTGGGGATGTGCGTGGGGTCTAGCTATGATGGGGTTTGGCGTGCACGATACACAGACCTGAGACCCCAGGAAGGGTTTGGTTTTCCTGCGAGGCTGCTCTGAGGATGCTGGCAGGGGGAGGACAAAGGCTGCAGGACCTAACAGAGCTTTTCTGGCCGTGCTCTTGCAGGCGAGCTCTCCCTGGAGGAGTTCATGGAGGGCGTGCAAAAGGACGAGGTGCTGCTGGACATCCTCACCCGCAGCCTGGACCTGACGCACATCGTCCAGCTGATCCAGAACGACGGGAAGAACCCGCACGAGCCTGAGGAGGCGGCGGAGGAGGAGGAGGTGGCTGAATAGGCTCCTGGATGCCTTCCCTTCATCTCTGCTTTTTCCCCTCGCATTACTAAAACAAAAGGCGGTGTGGTTGTGGGAGCTGGTGAGCTGTCCCGGTGCCAGTGCCACCAGCAATAGACTGTCCCAGCAGCAGCGCAGGGACCAGGACCTGCTCCGGAGGCACCGCTGCCCTGGGAGAGGGTTTGGGGGACCCGGGGCTCCCAGGCACTGCCCTGCCCAGCACAGCCACACCAGCCAGTGAGAGGAAAGGCTGCTGCGAGGAGGGGAAACTGCTGCTGCAGCGCTGGAAGCTCACAGCCACCCCCAGGACTGCCAACGGGGCCCTTCACTGTGCAGGTGCCTCTGGATATTGCTGCTGAGCCGGGGGGGATAGAGCATCGCCTCCCCAGGAAGGGGGAGTGGCACCATGCAATGCATAACACACCAAGTTTGACAATTTGTTTGATAATGCACCAAGAGAGCCTCAAAATTCACTCTGAGGCTGTGGCCAACGCCAGCATCTGCAGCCTCTGCGGGGGATGAACCCCGGGGCTGCCTGGTGCTTGGATATTGCTGCTGAGCCGGGGGGGATAGAGCATCGCCTCCCCAGGAAGGGGGAGTGGCACCATGCAATGCATAACACACCAAGTTTGACAATTTGTTTGATAATGCACCAAGAGAGCCTCAAAATTCACTCTGAGGCTGTGGCCAACGCCAGCATCTGCAGCCTCTGCGGGGGATGAACCCCGGGGCTGCCTGGTGCTTGGCCCCAGCGACAGGGGGGACCCCAAGGACACACGTGTGAAACCTAGAAAGCAGACCTGAACCTTCTCTTTCCGTATATATTTCCAGAGCATGAGATTGGGGGTTTTGGTCATCTGTTCTTTGATTTATTATTATTCTCTTAGCAATTGTTAGTGGTACTGTAAGATAAAACCATCTACGAGCTAGAAAAAGGAGAGTGGTGAATGCAATGGCTTTTATTTGTTTAAAAGCATTAAAACCATAGAATGGTGCCTTTTTTTAACAGCTATCTGAATGTTAAGGGCATGTTTCTCCTTGAAATGTCTAGAAGGGCTGTAATGGCAGTAACCTGAGAGGGAAAATATTCCTGCATCTCTTATCACCTGTGCAACAAACTTAAACTCTCCTCCAAGTTACACTCCATGACACCCTCAAGCATCAACGGCGGCAAATTATCTGGATGTGGTTCAGAGGGGTGAGCTGCTGGAGATGGGCTGGATGCGGTGCCCACACCACGAGCATCTGCAACACGTGAGTGTTCCTGAGCAGGCCGCGGGTACCACCAGCTCCACAGTACAAAGGGCTCAAGTACCGTCCCCCATGGAATAAAACCCTGTCACCCCTTATTAGAGCGTCCTGGGCACAGCAGCCTTGTCTGCTGGTGCTAGCGACCAGTGCCACGAGCAGAGGTGCCCCCAGGACCCAGCACACGCACAGGGGGAGCTGCCAGAGCAGCAGCCTCTCCCCCCACCATCCGCCGTCCCCATGCCGAGCCGGGGCTGTGCCCTGGCTGCTCCTGGAGAGGAGTTTCCTCATCTGATAGGAGCAAGTTTCAGGCATGGTGAGGCAATACAGGACATCAGGAAGGATTTCTCACCCAGCTGAAGCACTTGTTATTTAGCACTAGATGCCTGCAAATCATAAGCAACTTTCTGACCATTTTCCTGCGCATCTTTTTCATTTGACAGTGTTTTACCTGGAAGCTTTTGTACTTCCAATCTTATAGTGAACTAATAAAGATATTTTACAAGATTATTTCAGGTTGTGCTTTTTCTCTCTTTCAATCAATCGTTCTGTTTCCAGCAGGACAGATTAACAGTCTCCTGCAAGTGCAGAAACCTTTGTTTTGGCTTCACTAAAACAGTTCTTCTGCAAGAGCAGTGCAAGCATGGGGAGAGGTCTGTTTTCTTCAGAGCAGCACCTGCACTGAGCAAGCGTAGCTTGCTTTAATAAAACCTCTCTCCCTGGGTAGTGCCACAACTCTTTCTTCGGGAGCTCTGCTTTACCGGGTGGGTAAAGCAGGAGCTCCCAAATGTGGGTGGCATCTCTAGCACCTCCTGCTTTCCTCCCCGCTGCCTTCTGGGCCACCCGTGTCAGCCCCGTGGCTCCCTCCTCCCCTGCCTTCGGGGGATGCAGAAACCAGCGACCCACGGGCGGCATCTCGCGTGGGCTCTGCCGGTGGAAGCCGGGCTGCTCCGGGCCCTTCCCAGCCCAGTT